ATAAATAACTTGTCTTCCACTATGATATAACTAAATTAATTTACTCATAAAAGTTTTTATGTAAATCAATCCACTAACCTTATTTATTCCCAAATTAATTATAAAAACCTCCTCCACTTATTAAAATAAACTAACATCTTACATGCAAGTTAGTTTTATTAATTTTTAAGCAAATTATTATGTTTGCCATTTTCCTAATTTCACACCATTTTAATATTCTCCAACATAATAAACTTAGGATTTACTAAAATAATTGCTTTATTAAAATACTCCCAACAATAGAAGTAATCACACCATTTTAATATTTTGAAATATATGAAGAATAAGCAGTTATTCTAATTCAATTTCTTTTACCATGTTAAGCTTTTCAATATTTAGTTTTTAAATATGTAAATTATTGAAAATTTCAGGAAGTTATTCACTTTTCCTTCTAAACATTTCTTTTATTATTGTAATAGGTGTTATCTTTCGATTGGTTCAAAATAAAATATATATGTATTTTTGCATTTATCATATCTAATAATTTTATAATTAAATGAATGAGAATCAATTGACAAATTACCTAATTAGTAATTTCGACAAATTGATTAAGGTATTTAAATGTTTGAGTTAAGACGAAAAACGATATTTTATGGTATTGATGGCGATAATACAGGAATCCTTAAGAAAATTGTCAGATTTATATGAGCTTTGAAATATCTAAGTTATATCCAAATCAAAATTTAATTTATATTATTTTTTTCTTTTTTGATTTATTTGGTCACTAATTCTTTTTTTTTCCCTAAAAACTTTTCTGATGGGATAATATTGAAGAAATTTTGAATAATATATTATTTAAAATTTCCTATTGAGATCAAATTAAATTCCTGCAAATTGAAATAAAATAAAATCAAATCGAATTATAAAATATACCAAATTTAGATCTATCTCCATTTTTAAAGGAAAATATTCCAAACTGCCAACAATTTCAATAATAACTAATTATATTATCTACATTAATGTAAAATTACTAATCCTTATAAATCAAATTATTGATTCAATATATTAGACTAAATATTTTCGGAATTAAAAATATCAGTGTAATTATGTTATTATAAATTAGATAACGATAAGTCTTATTTTATTTCTTAATTAAACTATAAAAGTCTTTTGGATTTTTTATTCATATTTACTATAAAATTTATTTTTCTGATTTTTGTATCTTTTTGAACTATTAACAGTCCTATGATTATAATTTTATTTTTTAAACTATTTTTATCTCTAAATTGGATTTTCTCAGACTTAATTATTTTATTTCATTTTTGAGCTTGTATTCTTAGTTAGAATAACATTATCAAAAATTTGTAATTTGTAATTTATAATTTCTTAATTTTTTGCTTCTCTGAAATCTATCCTTATACTTTTATGATAAATGTTTTGTTTCCTAGAAAAGATTAGTTAAATATAAAATTTCCTAAAGTTTAAATATAACTTTAAACAGTTTTTTACAATGTTTTACAGATATTTATGAATACTTTTTGATAATATCTCTATTCAATAACCATTTAGATATCAAATAAGAAATTGATTATTATGAATTATTAAAAAGTATGATATTATTTTTAATAATATGATTCTTTTTATAGCTTTAAATTCTTATAGGAATTATTTAAAGGAGAATGCCCAATCAAAGGTTTTGCAAGAAAGAAATAATGATGTAATGATTACAGATGGGATGGAAGGTTACTGGATTCCAAACTAATGGTTAATTCAAAAACAAAATTTAATATTAATTCCTAATTTAATTCCATCTTAATAGTTCCAAAAATACAATAATTAACAATACCTAATTTTATTTAATTTATATATTCAACTCCCAATATTTTTTTTCATCAATCTCAATCTATTATCCAAATTTTATCCTTTTTCATTATAATTACCTCCACCTCTAAATAATTAGATGGTCAATTTATTACATTATTTTGTGCTGAGAATTAATTTCCCATTTTCCAATTTTCATTCCATTTTAATATATTCCTTACTACAAAATAATAGTAGGACTTAAATAAAATAATAAAATTGAAATTACAAACCTCCTATAATCCTCTACTTCTAACCACATACCTGTTTTTAATCCATTTTCATTAAAATTGCCTCCTCCTCTAAAATCTATTGTATATTTTCTACACAATCTCCAAACTTTCCTAATTAAAATTTTCCACATTCCAATTTTTAAACCCTCATTATAATCTCCAATATATATTATCGGGCATGTATAATAACGTGAAAGAATATAGTAGTATAAAAGTGTACCTTTTGAACTTTTCATGATATTCTAACCATTTTCCCTGCTTTCGACTGATGTTATCATAACATCCTAATCCCCTATAAGATTCATAGACTAAATTAATTTACAATAATTTATATCTATCATCCTAATATCCCTTTAGAAAAGATTACCATAGACCAATTTTTATCCATTCTAATATTCACCTTTTTCTAGAATTTAAGCACCACTAAACTTTCTTTTAGACAGATTTACTTCAAAAAATTTTCACCTTCCTCCATCCATTTTCCATTTTTATAACCGTCTCTGTTGTATTTTTCCCCTCCTCTGAAATTCATTCTAAAATTTTACATTCTTTTAAAACCATTATCAAAAAAACTTTTAAAGGAAATATTCCACTATCCTTATTTCAAACCATCGTAATATTCTCCTAGATAAATAACTTGTCTTCCACTATGATATAACTAAATTAATTTACTCATAAAAGTTTTTATGTAAATCAATCCACTAACCTTATTTATTCCCAAAATAATTATAAAAACCTCCTCCACTTATTAAAATAAACTAACATCTTACATGCAAGTTAGTTTTATTAATTTTTAAGCAAATTATTATGTTTGCCATTTTCCTAATTTCACACCATTTTAATATTCTCCAACATAATAAACTTAGGATTTACTAAAATAATTGCTTTATTAAAATACTCCCAACAATAGAAGTAATCACACCATTTTAATATTTTGAAATATATGAAGAATAAGCAGTTA